CTGCTATAACGTTTGATTGCCACGTTGCTTAATGGGCTAAGTATTGGGCCCGGGTTAGGAAGTTGAAGGCGGTTATTTAACTGGTCTGTGATTAATGAAAATAATTTCCTTTTCCTAATGCACTCTTGATTGGTTAATGTGTTTTTAAGGGTTTTTACTTGGTTTGTATTGAGAGGTCGATATCACCAATTAAGATTATGAATATCAGATTACAGAATAATCCATAAGATTCTAGAAGATTGTTGAAATAATGATAATCTGATTGCAGAATAATCAAGAAAGTTCTAGAAGATTGCTTGATTATYTTGTAATCAAATATTCATTATTTTCATTATGTTATGATTGGTCATCTCGACCTTTCAATCTCCTAATCAATCAATTAATATTACGTTCTCTCTCTTCTCTCTTACATATCTTTGAGAGAGAGAGATACGATTTCCGACTGCTTTTCGTGATGGAACCTTCCCATCGAATGCGTGATTCTCTAATCCTAGAAGAATCAATCTTCGTCCCTCATGATTGGGCCTTTGAAAGGTTTAGGTGAAGTATCTTTCATGGATTTGAGTATCTATGTTTTTGGGAGTTCTCGGAGGGATTTGATGCAAATAACTTGACGGGTTAAGTCACTTGTCTTCACCTCTCATCTGGAACGGTGTGACCACAAATCTGGCAAGAAACTGAGTGGTCAGGCATACATGTAGTAAGCAAATGGGTAATCAAACATGCATCATGGGTTTCCATATCAAGAACGGAACTAGGTATGATCTTCCATTTTCAATAGTACGAATCCAAATACGTAACAATATTCAAAATGGTATTCAGTCAAATGCCTCATATATTTACCTTGTGCATATGATAAAAAAACAACAACTAACCTTTTGTTCCCCGAAACAATTAACGTAGACAAATTAAAATCATTTGAATGCACATAAAGACTAACTTGTCCCGAAACTGACAAGTAAAGACAAAAATGGTAGGTGAAAAGCATTTGAATGCTTCATACATGTCTAAATCGATGAATCTAGATTCGACCTACCCTACGACGCTTGACATGGTATTCAAGCCCATGCATGTAAGACTCTATAAATACTCTTTTCTCTAACAATATATAGAATTAGAGATCTTTTCTATTTCTTGCTCAGTATATACCTATACTCCTAAACACTCAGCTTTTTCTCTTCTATCTTGAGATTCATTCTCACATTCGGCCCATCATCCGTCACCTTTCGACCATTTATGGTCACTCTTACGGTCATACTCAACCACTCTTTCAAAAAATACTATATTTTCCACTTCCATTCTCACCTAAATCCTTTCTAACACGTCTTGATACACTGCATGTGTTGTCCCATGCAACTTGGGGTTACCACGTTCGTCTTCCTTTGTTTTTTCTTTCTTTCCAGTCTTTTCACTCTTCAACCCTGTAGTCTTTTTTTCTCTTTCTGGTTTTACTGACTTGAGCATTGGAGAGCCGTTGGATACACTCCACCATCATGTTTTCACATTGAAATGTGTTTGTTATTTACGTAAGAGATTTGCCCCTAGTGGTTGGATCCACTTACACAAAATTTCTGAAACTATAAGTATTTTAATTTGATGAAGAAAATTAAAACTATAGCACGTTTTTACTATACAAAAATTAAACTATTTATAAAGATATGTAGACATGTAGAGTAACTTTTTGTATCCTTTGACTCCTTTTTCTAGTTTGGTGGACTGCGATGTGTTGTTGCTGATATGGTTAGTGGTTTTGTATTGTTAAGCGAGGACTACTTGTTCTTTTAGTTGTAGACAATTTGCATCAACCGATCGATCAATTGATATTAGAGAAAAAATAAAATCTTCTTTTTCCGATGTTATCTCCCAATTCTCCAGGGACTAACCATAGATTTGACACCTACCCTATATAACAACATATAACAGCCACGAAAATACCAAGTCTGCAACATTCGTTTGAAGCTTGATACAATTCTCTTCATCACCAAAGTTTTAGTTTCTTTTATTTGTTCGACAAAAAGGAAAGATCTCACATCTTGTACCACTGTGAAGAACATTTATGAATGCTTTACTCTGAGTGAATATGTTTTCTATTGCTTTCGCTTTGGTTTGAATGACCATGTCTGAGTATTCTCATTGTTAGGAATAGGGAATTTTAAAGGGAAATTTCATGGTTCGGTAGATAGGACTTAACAATTAGGGTCTAAATGGTAACCGCTGATTTTTTGCTGAATTTGCTGAATTTGCTGAATTACTGTTGATTTTTTGTAGAATTTGCTGAATAATATCAAACTTAAATGGTAACAGCAGAATTTGCTGAATTTTCTTAAAACAGTAATTACTGTTGAATTTTTGCTGAATTACTGTTGAATTGCTGAATTTGTTGAATTTTTAGTGATTTTTTGCAGAATTTGCTGAATAATGGGTCTAAATGGTAACG